TGTTATATAAAAAAAGTCAATATTTAACATGGATGAATAAACCCCTAATTTTATTTCTGTGTTAAATTTAAAGTAACAGATTATAATTAAAAATGACTCTGGACCTTTACTGGTTGATGATTTTCTGAATTGGGACACTGCTGATTTTTTATTGGTTACTCCTGAGTTATTAGATCCGTTTGCGTTCTGCCATATTATCCAGATCTTTATCAGCATCAGTCAAAAGTGTTTATGCCAGGAGAGGAGCTACATGAGGAACCGTGGAAGGAAAGCAGATAATTAGCCCTCTAAAGCCCGATCCAAGAATAAAACAAAACAGAAAATTAGTTTTTTTGGGTTTGAAGTCCTTATTTGCCCTTTTTAACAAAATATGTAAAAAGAAAAAACATAAATACATTTTTGATATTAGTAATTTATTACTATGCGATAAGTCAATATTATTTTTTGTGTAGTCTTCTGCCCTCTGTTATCAGGTATATCTGATTGTGTACAATGGGATTTTGAGCAAGGTTTTTACCATTAAATTATGCAAAAGGTGTCAGATGCAAAACATTTCAGAAACTGTATGTATCTAATATGATACATTTGGCATCATAGGGTTAATTAACCCTCTCATGCATGAATTATGATAAACTCAGGAAGTTTTTACTAGGTGGTTTTACGCATCCTTATGAATGTAAAACAAATTTTGGGAAAAAAAATCTTTGTTCTATAAAGAAATATTTATCTCTCCACTCATTTCAACTTTATGCATTTTATACCGTACAAAAATCTAAATACTAATAAATTAGTTGCAAAAATATTGTTGTAATTTAGTTTACTCCCCTGTAGAAACAGAAATGGCGGAAGTGTTTGATCTTTTCCCCGTGTCAGCCATCTTGGTTTCACTGACTTTTTTTTTTTCTAGCTTCCACTAGATTGGACTATATGCATAATGGCCCAAAACTGAAGGCATATATACGCTTCTAAACAGCTGTACTCTGTAGTCATCACCATGCATGCCAGTTTAAATGTTTTCACTATGGAACCTGTGTTTCATTTAGACCCAGATGTTCTGGACACCTGGTTCTCCTCGGCGCTGTTTCCGTTCGCCATGCTGGGCTGGCCAGAAAAGGTACCCCCCACCCCCCCACCGCTGCAGAGTCAAACAGCCCATCCTCCTATGTTTCCATCCCTCACTTAATCCCCATTTTTCCACAGACCTCTGACCTCCAGCACTTCTACCCTAACTCTGTTCTGGAGACCGGCAGTGACCTCATCTTCTTCTGGGTGGCCAGGATGGTGATGCTGGGGTCCGAGCTGACTGGACAGCTCCCGTTTAAACAGGTGGGATACCTGGCTGCTCCGCCATCACCTCTGATGAGTGCGCTCAGTGGCTGATTCCTTCTCTTCTCAGGTTCTGTTTCACTCCCTGGTGCGGGACAAATATGGCAGGAAGATGAGTAAATCTCTGGGAAATGTTATCGACCCTTTAGATGTCATACATGGCGTCTCTCTGAAGGTGAGAACTAGCCTGACTGTCGGCACTCAGGGAACCGTTTCATCTAAATGCAGGTGGACGAGGTTTTCCTAACACGCTGCAGCCCGGAAATAAAACGGCAGACTTCTGTTTTTATGTTAAATAGAAATGTGTGGATTTGATTTAAATGAAAATAAAGAAAACTAAAGGTTGTTTATTTTATCTGTTGATGCAGAAATGTGTTTTTATTATTTTCCTCTGATAGAGACTCGAGGAGAAAGTGAAGGAGGGAAACCTGGACCCAAGAGAGCAGTTGGTTGCCATGGAAGCGCAGGTGTGATACTGTCCAGTGTGATTGGCTGAGTGCATTCAATGCTTTTTATCATTTATCTGCTCTATCTGTCCCCCCCACACACACCCAGAGGAAAGACTACCCTAATGGAATACCTCCATGTGGGACAGACGCTCTGAGATTCGCTCTTTGTTCTCACAGGATGCAGGGTGAGTATCACAGGAATCCGTCCCAATGCAGGTATCAGGAGTCTCTTTACCTTTGACCCAATATTTAAAGCAGACAGATCTGGATGAGTTCAAACAAGCTTTTATCTGTTTAGCAATAAGCATGCGGCTGCTGGAATAGAAGCTCAGGTCAGTGACTCGGTATAAAAGGCTGATATAGACTAAGAGCAATAGTTACTGACCTGGTTCAGAGTTCAGTCTGATCCCAGAGGAAGGAGATGGATCCAGAGGGAGATTGTCCTCAGCTTGCAGCAGGTGCCGCTCCCAGAGCTCCCAGTGATGAGCGGAGCTGATGCCAGCCGACGCCGAGGAGCAACAGTGTCCAAAAGGGAATATCAATAGCCGAAGTCGCAGCAGAACCAAGTTTAAAGACCAGAAGATCAGAGAGCCGATGAGGAACAGAAGGGGAATCCAAGCCGAGGTCAGAAGAACAGTCCAAGTTTGGTAAATCCAGAGTCTAGAACAGATAAACTGACAGAGCAGACAGGGGGAAAGCAACACAAGACAGAAGATAGAGTTACTCTCACCTAATAGATTGAATAATCTGGCACTGGTGGCTGGAAAACCGGCAGCATAAATAGGAGGTGGAAACAGGTGGATCAGTTTAGCAGTAATGAGAAACCGGGCAGAGTTGAACAGGTGAATGGAATGAGCAATCAAGTCAGCCACCAGCGCCTGGATCATGACAGTAGGAAGATGATGCTGATGATGATGTTTGTTTCAAAGGTAACAGCTGAAAAGGTGCCTATAATGCCTTGCTCAATGGGTTTCAGGAAACTGCATCACATCCAGAACTGTGCAGGAGGAATAAAAGTTAAACACATCCCGTCCGTCTCCCTCTTCTGCTTCATGGTGTGATGTCACTCTTTCAGGTGAAGACATCAGTTTGTCCGTATCTCAAGTTCTCAGCTGCAGGCACTTCTGTAATAAAATGTGGCAGACCCTCAGATTCACTTTGGGAGTTCTGGGTGATAAAACGACGCCAGTGGAAACACTTGAAAAGGTAAAGTTTTCTCCATTTTCTTTTATGCATTATCGCAGTTTAACAAAACGCAGTTTTTAAATCGCAGTGGCACCCAATTTTAATCACACTACATTTAAGAAGAGTAAGACACTAAACCATCACTCCAGCCCTTTAGGTGGCGGTAAAACGTTTGAAGTGGGTTTGTCCTCACAGTTGCAGCTAGCACACAGATCCATGCATGTAAATAGACATAAAGATAAACGTTACAGTTAGTGAGGGTTAATGAGGCATCTTGAAGCCTTTCCACACATTGCCAAACTCTATTGATGCTGCGTTGATACTGTCGCAGAATACTGACACCTGCTGGACATCTAAAGACACTGCAGGCAGCTTATTGGACAGACTGAACTGAATTGATTTGATGTCGTATTTCATATCTGTGTTTAAATTGAAAATATCTTTGATATTTTTTTATGCAGCCAATAGATAATGTAAACATATATCACAACGTGAACATTTAGGGGGAAATATGAATCAGGATGCTTGTGGACTTGGATTTAAAATCATAATTTTAAAACAATAACACAGTAAAAACTGTAAATAAACTAAAAGTCAATTTGAAGTTAACTTTATATCAGATACGTTGAGTGATAACTGAGAGGAAAAGGAGGACGCAATGAGAAAATTGAAATAAAAACACAACGAAACTACAAAGGATGAGACACAGTTTAATAAGTCAGTCAGTTAGGAACAACCCTCATGGATCAGTCACATGACTTTCCTGAAACAACACGCTGAAACGACACAGTGTTTTGCTCTATGGGCTCCACACATCAGTGTTGCTGGATCCATCACTAGTTACAGTAAAGCCCTGCAAGAAGGGACTCTATGCAAACAAGCTTTCAAAAACTGAAGGCATGGAGTTAGTGTAAAGGGATTTAAATATAATTGAAATTTAGATTTTTGTTGAAATCGTTCGGCCCTAATGCAGGCTCAGTCTCATGCTGACCGGAGATCAGCCTGAAAAATGCTTCTCTGCTGAGCAAATGAAGGGTTTTCTCGTGGTAAAAGTCTAATAATAAATACACTCAGTAGTTTTTGCAATATTGTAGAATTTCTGATGTTAAAATGTTTAACCTTTAAAATGTGATTAAGTAAAGAGTCAGGATGTCAAAGGGAGCAGCAGCCTTAAAAGGTCGTCTAAATGTTTGGAAGGGCTTTCATTTCATAAACCATTATGGTGAAATCAGAGTCTGGTTTCCAGCAGAGGGTCTCATTTTCCTAGGCGCCGTGTGTTTTTTGTTTTAGTTTTTTTCTTTCATGGAGACAAAGAGCCAAAGGAAGAAATGGTAAATTGTAAATAGCATGTACTTATATAGCGCCTTCATTCAAGTCAGGAGACTTGACCAAAGCGCTTTACACTACATTCATTCACCCATTCACGCACACACTGATGTTTGCAAGCTACATTGTAGCCACAGCTGCCCTGGGGCTCACTGACAGAAGCTGGGCTGCCGTACACTGGCGCCACCGGGCCCTCTGACCACCATCAGTAGACAATGCAGGTGAAGTGTCTTGCCCAAGGACACAACAACAATGAAAGTCAGAGCAGGGGCTTGAACCGTCAACCCTTCAATTTCAGGGCAAACTCCTACATCCAACCCCAC